ACTGCAAAAACTTGTGGTGCGACAGAAACTGCGTCTTGAAAAATGACACAAATTTTCTTTCTATTATTGTTTCCGACTAAGGGTCCAGTCGAGAATTTAGGGAAAATAAAATACTAATTGGAGTGATAAAAGACCACCTGTATATGTATCTGTTACCCTTACACGTCACCTTTTGAGAGTTTAAAAATAATTTTGGGGCATTTATTTGAACACTCAGTGGTTTTTACGCCTTTTTATTCTACCCTTGCGTGACCTAACAGCGACCAACTTCCACCGCGTCATTTTTGCGATGGTTTTGAATATGTGCACAACTTTGCAGCGACCATGGCGTACACACCGACGCGAGTACATGTATTTTAAGTTCAATCTTACTGATCGCTATGGTGGCCCCTATTGGATATTTCAACTTTTCGAGTTTTCGCTGTGCCTCCTTTTTCGCGTCCAACGACGACCTGGCCGAGGCGAAAGGGTCACAAAAAGGACACCTTCCAGTGTAAAGGGGGTTTAAATGCTTTGAGGTTTCGGTAATGCCATTCACATTTGAGGCATGCTTTCATGCGTGAATGCCCGTTTAATTGCAAGTATTTAAAAGTTTGCTACATACTGATGAAATAAATAGATAAATGAAAGCTGACACATTACCTGTTCAAAGTACCGAGATCCATTGCTGTAAACCAAATGATTGCCATTCTCGTCGGATTTTGCGTCAACATATTCACATAAATCTTCCCCCGAATCGTCTTTAATGTAGTTGAACCCCACACAACGGGGTGCATTCGCCGTGCACTCGATGGCACACACGCTTTTTACGGACACAAATTGCTGTCCATATACGTTGATATTTACTACGTCTTTCCTGCAGCTTGGAGGGGTGACGTATCTGTACACATTTCTAGAACTTTTATCCCCAAATACAATCCAAACGGCCGCGAGCATGAGGTGTAAAACGCAAACCATGTTCAGAAGCATTTGATGACAGCTAGAATACAACAATTGTACAACAACAGCAATTAATCAGTCCTTTTGACAGGCTCCCTGTGAAGGTGTCATTACTGAGATTTTCATTGAACTATTAAACACAAATCAACAGATTACAAAACCGATTATTGCCAGAGACAACTCCAAAACAAAACCAATACTCTTTCGGGAATCAAAATCAAATGTGTTCTGATCACAGTAGAAAACTCAGCACTAGAACATCGATTTGGGCAATCTTATATAAGGTCTCCTTAATCAAATAAGATAAATCTAAGTCATTTTGCTAATTGTGTTTCTGAACCATTAATAATCCACTGTGTGTTTTCTGTTACCAATGACACTGAAATAGAATCCTCTACCAAGGCCACATATGTTTTTTTCGCTAGATATTCACATGTGTTTCTCTAAATATTTCATGACACAATTCTCTGCTTTGACCTTGTTTTGAAGTCTCCTAGGATAATTACAGGATTTGTAATTGTTTGCATAGGCACTGTCAGTTAACGAGTTCTTGTCATATCCTTCTGTGTGTAGTTAGGTAAGCTATTTGCTCTGACCTTAATTGCCTGACTTGCTGTTGTCGAACTCAACTGTCATCAATATATACAATCCCTTATTTCTTGATAATGGCATTTGCTTTTCTCTATATATTGATATTAATTCAATAGATTTATCATTGGTCACTAGGGGGTAATATAATAAATATCCCCAAACGTACTGTAACTAGAAGGTAAAACATGGGATTATAATAAAACACTCATGAATACAATACAACCCAAACAGCCGCTGCATGTAGCCCAGGGATGTCTCGGGGTGAGGGTGGGGTCGGGGGTG